ATTATCTTGGCGACGTTGTTAGAAGAAGCAGAACGAGAGCGACAAAGAGTCCCAAGACGAAGAAGAAGGTGTGAACCCGAGACTGGATATTGAAAATAGCCCGGTTTGGGCAGTACGTAACTCTAAGGAGGGAGCTTGAGGCGGAGCATTAGTCAGACTTCAAGTCTTTCCTCTGCATGGAACCGGAGATGTTCCGCGAGCTTCTGGCACGAGTGGGGCCACGCATCGCCAAGAAGACAACGTTAGTTTACATGAAAATGTGGTGAATTTACATCAAATTTTGCAAACACATCTGTTCCAAATTTATTTTATACTTATATTTAATTTATTAATGGTATTTGTTCTCTTTTTCGTGTTTCAGGCAGAGGGCTCACTTGGAACTTAGTCTTAAGTTGGCGATCACCCTCTGCTTCCTGGCCACTGGCGCCAGTACCCACAACGTGGCCTTCGCGTTTCAAGTCTCCCACGACACCATCTCACTGTTTGTGCCGGAGGTCTGCCACGCCATCCTCAAAGAGTACCAGGCTGATGTGTGGGAGACTCCGTCGACTGAAGACGCCTGGGGGGAAGTGGCACAACAGTTCCAGAAGAAGTGGAACTTCCCTCATTGCTGCAGGGCCTTGGACGGCAAGCATATCGCCATTCAGAAGCCGACAAAGAGCGAAACCGTATTCGCACCGCTACCTGCCAAGGCAAGAGAGGATCTGCAACCGCCGCGTCATGGAGAACGTGTTTGGGATCCTGGCCAACCAATTTAGATGCCTGCTGAACACCTTGAAACTGAGGCCGGTGAACGTGTGTGTGGCCAAGGAATGCCTGACCCTCCACAACATAATGAGGATACGTTACCCACGGATCCAGTATGCGGACCTCGACCGCGAGGACGACCAGAGTCAACTCCTCCAAGGGGCTTGGAGAGACAACGCTGTCATGCATGACGTGCAGGCTGCAGGCCGCGGACCAAAGACCAATGCGGCTGGCAAGGAGCAAAGGGCTTATCTGAAGAAATATTTTAATAGTCCTGCAGGAAGTTTCCCCAGGCAGGATTTTGCCATAGACAATCGACTTTTATATTATATTCATGCTTGTGATAGACAATTGACTCATTTATATCTTTGTCCTCTCACATGTGTATAAATATGTTTTTAAGATTTGATGAAGATGTTTTTACATTGAAATAAAAAAGAGTTGTTTAATAAATTAAAAACATTTCCTTTGTATTTTTTTTTATAATAATTTGGTTGAAATAACACCTGCGCACTTAAAACTTGTCAAAAACCACAAAGTGTTTTTTCATTTCCAGTCTTTGACCTTTTAACAAGAAGAGGCATTGTAAAAATATCAGGAAAAGTCTATTTTTACTTTTGTTTTTACTTGTTATATATTTTTCTTTGGTCTCTTGACCTTTAAATTTTGTGATCTATCAATACTAATTTAACAATTAAATTATTTGACCTGTACCATTTGACCTTGTAATAATTTGATCTTTAATTTCTTTCAAGTGACCTTACTTTTATCAACTTCAATTTGTTGTTGTTTTTTTCTTTGACCTTCAAATCATTCAATTATTATAGTCAAGACAGAAACACAAATTTCTTTCAGACCATGGATGCTTTATTACAGCATAAGACATATAATGTGACTGAGGTACATATAAAACGCATGCTACAAGATAAATAAGTCCGGCGTAACATTTAATCCATAGAACAGTAGAAGTCCATTATCTGACGCAGCTGACATTGATGTCGCATTCCTTCTCTTTGAGTGACGTAGACCAGGGGGTTCATCTATGTTTCCGAATAAGGTTACCGTTTCCTCGGGTGTCGGATCCTCGCTGCAGAGTGTCCCACGGGCCTCTCAAAGAGTCTGTGACACCGTCTCCACAGACAGAGGTGTTGAATTCAAGGGATGATGTAGGTTGATGCGGGGTGCACAGCAGCGAGGCAAGTTAATCAGACAAGGTCCATGCATGGTTGATCATGGAAGTGTTGCTGCTGGCAGAGACTCCCAACGACAAACTTGTTCCGAAGTCCCAGGAGGTGACAGGTTTTGTGGGGACAGACTGTGCTCTGGCTGGACAGGACATCTGAAACATAGTAACAGATAAACATTATTGTAATGCAAAAGAAAAATATAAGTTTTATGTATAAAACGTTCATGTTGCAAAATAACTACTATGAGGTGTACTAAACAATGTCACAAGCAAAGAAAAACTACCTGTAGTTGTGCAAACTGCTGCTGCTGCGGAACAGGGTGGGCGGTGAAGAGGCAGGAACTGCGTCACCGGCTGGAAGGCTTGGAGTTGTTGTTGTGTGGCCAAGTTCAACGAGTCGGTTATCTCGCTCTGCACCGATACCAGCCACTCTGCCTAGGCCGTCCGCTCCACCTTCTGGGCTGCAATTGTGATCTGGAAAGCCTGCAGCTGTGAACAGAACATGTAACATAGCATTTACTTGTAAATTCAAAAGAAATACAAGTTTGCATCTTGTAATGCAAGTATAAGACAATGCTCAAGGTTGCAAGTGTATAGTCATGTATTTGCCTTCTGTTCAGCCTCCTTGGTCTCCTTGGCACTCTTCTCTAATAGTGCACCAAGACTTCCGAAAACACCTTCTTGGACGACTTGGCTTCTTCGTCTCTGCCGTCACCACTGCCGGAGTGATGGGACCCTGCTCACCTGCCACTGACATGTTGTCACCCGACTCCGACTCGTCACCACCAGCATCGCCTCCGACCTGAAGCATAGGCAAGCAAAAAATGTCATTTGAGTTGTGTGCAAGAATGGATAAGGTAAGAATGCATAAGATAAAAATAGATAATAATTGCATTATTACAATTATATTCAATTGTTATACAAGAGATACTGTAATGGTAGGAATGGATAAGAATGTATAAGAAGAATGGATAACAATTGCACTAAGACAAACATTATTGTAGTGCAAAAGAAAAATATAATAAGAATGGATAAGACATAACAACTCGACAAATTCTACTTGCAGATGCTTACCTTTCCGCATGTCTCTGATTGTGTCCGAGGCTTGTGGTAGGGGTCTAGGAAAGCGTACGCTGCCAACTTGAAACTCTGGAGAGGAGTCAACCTCTTCCTGCAACCAGATCCGCTTTTCTTCTTGGTATCTTTCTTCAGCTTGTGGTGGTCGGTCCTCATGGAAACAAATTGGCGGTTGATGGCCGCAGCTAAAACACACAAAAAAGAAAAAAGAACATTATGACATTTAAAAGAAACATTTGTAATTGAAATCTTATTCAAAATTTTTTTCAATTATTCACAATTTTCATACAAGAGATAATATATAAAGGGCTCATTAGATAGGCCAATTTCCCTAATTCCCCAATTTCCGAATTCGGTCAGCTGCTTGTCTCGTAGTTGAGTGTTTTTGTAGTTTGGATCGGCCTGGTCATAGAACATGGGCATGCCCTCGAACCAGCTGGCTATACTCTTCATGGTGTCCATCAATATTTCTTCTAGTGGCATCCCGTCGCCCGCGTGGCGCAGTGGTTAGAGCGTCTGCTCTAGAGTCGCGAAGTAAGGAGTTGATCCTTACGTCTCGGGTTCGAATCCCACTGTGGGACGTGGAGACCGGTCCTTCGGGTGAGACCGTATAAACTGAGGTCCCGTGTCGCAGTAGGTGCTGGCACGGAAAAGACCCCTCACTGCTCAATGGCCGTAAGTGCCGAGTATAGGACAAAATTTGCAGCTCTCCACCGGCAACTGGTGGCGTCTCCATATGAGTGAAAAATTCTCGAGAGGGACGTTAAACAACATACAATCAATCAATCTAGTGGCATCCCAATAGGCTGTCTCTTCTTGGAGCCGGTTATGGACGAGGCAGTGGAGGCTTCCGAGGCGTTATCATCGAAATCTTCGTCATGTTCATTGATGTGGTCAGTGTCTGTGCTCTCTGGGTCCTGTCGCGGTTTCTTGCGGGGTGAGGTTCTGGTCGGTGCTTGGGCTGGGTTCTTCGGCGCCTTGCCCTTGTCACTCGTCTTGCCCTTGTCACCCGCCTTGCCCTTACCAGTCGCCTTGCCTTTGTCACACCCCTCTGGTGGTTCCTTGCTGTCTTTTTGCGGTATTGGCATTGTTGTCTGCTGAATGAATGCTGTACATGCAAAAAATTACGCGCTTATAAAGGCCCAGCGATGCATCGCTTATCATAGACCGAAGTTCGAGCGGTAATCGGCCGATGTATATTACATTGCTCATACATTGGTGAACATCGTTCGTACATCGGTCGACTATGCGCCAATGTTTGGTCGATCATCGACCGATGATCGGCCGATGTCTGTTGCCTACATGTACCCCCACTGTCCTCAGATTCAATGGACACTGGACGATGCTCGGCCATACATTGGCCGATCCTTGAAAGATGTGTGAATAATGGGTTGCCGATGAGGGCCGATGTGGGGGTATTGGTGGAGTCATCGCTGATTTTTAAGTACAACTTATTTTTTCCCTATAACCCCCACCGATTCGCCCGATGGCCTCAGTCACCGTCCGATTACTATGGGTGTCCGGCCGGCAACCACGCCATTTTTATCAAAAAAACGCATCGGTTACCCATCGTATACCCCATCACTGGATAATGTGACTGATCCTTAAAGAATAAGTTAATTTAATGCTCATTCATTTTTATGCTTTATTTGCCGAAAAACCTTACATGTATTTAGACAAAAATAAGAAGATGTAGCTTGAGAAAGTGAAGACGGAAGAAAAAGTGGGATAGATCAGTCATACATGTATATCACATCATTTTTTTTTTGTTATACACCAATGGTACCATATACGAGAACATATATTCAATTTTTTTAATTTCCCTTACGCACTGTGTTACAGATGGAAAGAAAGGACAATCAAGCATAGCGTCTACATGTACTGAGTATTTCTTAGAATATTTGAATTATTTAGATGACAGTTTTAGTAACTCAATGTAAGGATAAAAAAGATGCATTATTTAAAAAATAATATTCTAGAGAACTAAGTATTAAGATATCGGTTTCGGTATCTTATGGGGCTTTGGTTTTATCTTAGGTTTTATTTTGTCTTTCGGGGACTTGATTGGATCTGTATTTTCATAAAGCCTTTCTATGACTTGATCTTTTTGTTTAGGTTCTGGAGAGTACAAATTCTTCATTGACAATTCTGTAATAAAGAAAAAAAGAAAGAAAATATATAGTCGTTAATTGGATGTTTAAAAAGGTTTTTAAATAACTAAGAATGTACTCAATTTAGCTTATATACCATGGTTTTCAGTCTCTCTGTATTGGTATTTTTCATACGGGTTGGTGTCATCAGTTTTTCCTTTTTCAATTGCATCATATGGCCCTGATCTGAATAGAAGATCAGTTTATAGTTTGTTTTTTTTTAAATTTGCTCAAAAATTATAAAATTTGAATTTGAATCATATTATGAAAACATCTTTTTACTAAAGAATTTTGCTTGAAAATTACATACCTCCCTTTCTTGGCCTTGCTCTCTAGAAAAAAATAATAAAAAAGAAAGAAATATTTTCCTTTGCATGCCCTTCTTGTGCTTAAACTATTTTTGTGAGTTTCTTTATTGTCTAAAACTACCGAAAAAAAGTCCAGGACAAGTGCTTTAACATTAAAATTATTGTATGGTCCGTGATACCTTTCAAGTATTTATAACACATAAAGGCCAATGCTGTGATGCTCAGAGCCAGCAGGATTCCTAAAACAGCTCCAACAGTGACGTGTGCGGTCGACGTATCTTCTAGAATGAAGAAAAAATATACATTGATATTGATATTAATTTTTAGAAGTAAAATATTGTTATTTATCTACTTAATAGACGAAATAATTTTTGAAAGATAAAGTGATATCTTTTTACTGTGAAAGTATCAATTAAAGGTGTCGCAAAAACAAAAATTTTTATTCCCTTCAAGAAGAGTGCTATAGAGAAAAATATTCCCTTTTTAAGAAACAATTCTGACACCGACTAAAAGTGCCAAAGTTCCTCCAAATTGCTATAAATATGTATTTTAAAAAACATTTTAAATCTCACAATCACTTTGCTATAAAAATATCCTGATCCATTCTTAAAATAAATTTAACATCCAACTAAAGCATTCAATCTCATCTATTTATCTTTATCTATTTACAATTCCAATTATTTCGCTTAAGATTCTTTGCAACTTCAGACGTAGTGTGCTACAGCATATTCTAAAAGTGATGTAAATTAGATGTGGATTCTCAAAGAACTTTAAGAAAATTTAAAATCACCTATATGTAATTTTTCAAAAGTTTATAAAATCAAAACGTACCGGTAAGACTTTTCTACATTTTATACAACCATTCATCACGATAAATTAAAATCTAGGCTTTTTGATACCATAGGCAACTGCTTCTTGAATAATAACGGAACTCGGAAAAAAACTATTGGCACTAACTGTGCTCCTTTATTAGCTGTCCTGTTTTTATATTCCTTTGAAGCAAAATTTATTTAAAACATTCTACATACGAAAAGGAAAACACTTGTTGTGACCTTCAAATTGACATTCAGATATATCGACGACGTTTTATCAATTAACACTCATATATATCGATATATTCCAGTGAACTTGAAATAAAAGACACGACAGATTCTGACACATCTTTTTCATATTTGGATGGTTTAATGATTATGGACGATAAGGGCCAACTAACAACTAAATTGTATAATAAACGAGATGACTTAAGCTTTTCCATCGTCAACTTTCCTTCTTTATGTAGAAATTTTCCACTATCACCTGTTTACGGTGTTCATGTCTCCAAACTTATTCACTACTCGAACACTTGCTCTAAGTACGATCAATATTTAAACCAAGGCTAGCTACTTAAAGATAAGTTGGTGTTACAGTGATTTCAACAACCTCGTTTAGTAGGCGTTTCGTAAATTCTTTAGTCGTTATAATTACCTTGTTAGTAAATATAACCTATCATTGGGTCGTATTTTGGCTGACTTGTTTTATACTAAATGTTTGGCCTATGTTTTTATACTAAATTAGATTAATAAATGTATCCTTGATCAATTTGTAGGGCTCAGGGCGGGGGTGACCGATCTACAGGGGATGCTTACTCCTTCTAGGCACCCGAATCCACCTCTGGAATTTCCAGGGGTACCTGTTTTTTGCGTTCTTCACAGATTTGTATTTATAGATTTTTGAGATTGGTCACTGTTTGTTATCATCACCTTTTTCATTGCAAATTTAAAAAAACCCAGTTTATTATATCTTGCGAATATGAAGTGTAAATAGTCATTTCTGGGATGAGAAAAGTTCGGAATGAATAAAATACAATAATTGTATCTTTGAGGTAAATAAGCGTTTTAAATCAGATGAATCAGACCGTTTTAGTCAGTCGGTCGGGAGGACACCCCCCCCCTTTTTTTTTTAAAGATGAATTTATATTCAAGTTCGAGTTATCTCTCTTGTCACTTTCCATATTTAGATACCTTGAGTGGCACTATGGCACTAATACGCTTCCGTACGAATGACAGGCAAACTTCTTCTCATATGATGTGAAATGTACATTCAGGTACCTTAGGCAGAGCGCAAATTTTAAAATCATTTGTTTAAAAAAAATCAATATTACAATGAATATAAAACTTCCCTTATTATTTTTCATAAAAATATAACGATATTTTTCCGATGTAATTCTAAAAACGGTCTTTAATCCAATCAAAATCCATGAAAATATTCCTTCAGAGATTAGTGCATAGCACTTCATGCTGTGAAACATATTCCAGTCGGCAAGCAGTTTTGACAAACATGCCGTATACGGTTTTGTAAATAAATTATCCAAGACTATAATGGTACATGTAATCAACACTTTACCATTGTATTTTCTCCAAAAGTCTAAATGACAGCGAATCTAGGGAGGGAATACTCCATATAATACTCGTAGTTAGATACCTTGTGTAAAAAAAAATAAGAGAAAAAAGTACCTGGGCTACCCCCCCCCCCTTGTTTTTCAATTAACAAAATAATGGGAGTGCATGGACCCACATCAAAATTAAATATTTTCCTTACAATATTAAAGGTACAAATTTAATTAACTTTTCAATGAATCTTTTTAAGACAAAGATCTTTTGGAAAGAATGAGAGAACTTATAACTTGTACCGATAAACAACTTAAGTCAATCGACGTAGTTGGCCATAGGTTATATGTTTAATTTTTGATTTTACTATGGAAGTAAATGCAAAATTTACAACATGATTACTAGTTATCGCTTCGTAAATTCTGCATTGACCCCCATATAGTAAATTCAAAATTTATAAAATTTATGCCATTAATAGAAGAATCGGATGATAATAACCTTTTGAAGTATCCGTGGTGCAGTTGACAACCGATGACAGAGAGAACCCGTATCTATTAATTGTGACCACTTTGAAGAAGTAATTTGCACTGTCTTGTAGACTGGAAACTGTGACATGTAAAAGTTCTTGTTTAATTCGTTCAGAAGTAATGCCCGAATCGTTGGAATAGACTACACTGTTAAGATTTGTCGAGTATTGAACAAATGACTTTTGATCCTCGTAACCAAAGTAAGAGGATTGCCAAGTTACGTGAGCTTTTCTGCTTCCACAAAAAGCAAGTACTTGATCTGCCTTTAAAGGTCTACCTGAAGAAAAAAAATGGTCTTAAAGCCAAAAATATTTTAAAAAGTGACTTTGTTATTTTCAAAACAGTTCTGCTTTTGGTTTATAATGATCTATTTTTTCAATAGTAGCTGTTTTTTCTTGCAATTACTAGTATTGAATTTACTTCTAGGAAAAATTCTGATGTCTACTGTTGATGTTCCATATCCGTTTGAGACAGCTAATTTGTATAACCCATAATCCTCTGGTTGAATATTTGACCTGCGCAGTGTGATGCGAAAGATATTCGTTGTATTGGTGGATATACTGAGACCAATGTGAGTATTCGGAGCACCATTTGGAAGTGTCAACTTGTAGTTAGGCTGTGGATACGATAAGATGGTGACGTCACCGTCCAAGGATTTGTTATTTCCTACTGGAATGTCAACTGAATTCCCTAAAGGATTTAAACGGGGCGAACCTACAATAAGAATACTTTATTTTGGAGACGAATTAGTGCAATACATTAAATTCCCCTCTATATTACATTAATACACGTACGAGTACTGATGCACAACAAAATTAAATAATGATAAGTTGATGTCCTTAAAGAAGACTTTATGACCATATGCATGTGCTTCTTTAAGAAATCTGAAGACAAGGTTATAGGTTTTTTAAAATATGTATAATCAAATATACTGTATATTTCTTTTAGTTTGAAATCATGATGTAAGGAGTCTACATTTTGCTGTATTGGTGTATACAATAATGTAATAACGTCATTGATATTAAATTCAGATTTAGATATTTCAGTATAATTGTATTGTTGCCCTAAAATTATCCTCAGAATCATAAGAGGGTTTCATGTATCATAACAGATGTGAACTTTTATGATAAGATAAACAGGTATCAGGACAACTAGCCCCCAAATCTTGTGACTGTACATGTACATATTGTCGTTTTGTACGTACATATTGTCGTACGTATATGTACGTACAAAACGACAACATATGCCGAGACGAGCCTTATTTTCCTCCTGCATAATGAACGACAAAATGTTCAATCAAGCACCGGCACATATTGTCGTCGGCGACAATATGTACAGTCAAGATCGGCACATATTGTCGTCGATATATTGTTTTGACGAATATTTACCCCAGGAGAGAGAGAGAGAGATTGACAAACACACGCACGGAGAGACAGCATTAATCGCAATACTGTAGGGAGAAAACTTTCTGGTCAGAAAGTTGGATAGGTGTACACGGCTATGGTATATAAAATATCGGAATTCTTAATTAAACTTATAAATCAGAATAACTCTTTGTCTTCAATAGTAATAATTATTTAGGTAATATTCTTGTGTTTTTCTTATACATGTACCGATATTATTGTGGTTGGGGGTCTACATTTTAGCTCATCTGCGCTTAAAGCTCAAGTGAGCTTTTTCTGATCACCCGTTGTCCGGCGTCCTTCTGTCTGTCCACCCATCTGTAAACTGTTCGCATTTTCAACTTCTTTTCAAGAAACATTGGGCTAATTTTGACCAATGTTGGTGCAAAATATCCCTGAGTAAAAGGGTACCTAAATTTTAGAAATGAAGGACCAAACAACCTTCCAAGGGAAGATAATCAGGAAAAGGCGAAAATAGAGTAGGGTCATAAAAAATTCTTTTTTCAAGAACCACTGGGTTAGAAAAGCTTAATCTTATGTGGAAGCTACCCTAGGTAGTGTAGGTTTTAAATTTTTCAAAACATACACCCCGCTCACTCCATCCCAGGGGTAGGGTGGAGCCACAGTAGGGAAACAAAGCTTACCATTGAAATATAAAAGAAAAAAAATCTCATAGAGACAAAAACCACAGGCACTTAATTCGGTAATAATTTTTTCAACCCGAAGTATAATCATAACACAAGGTATCCAACTCTGAAATACATGGAGTATCCCCCTCCCCAAAATCGCTCTCATTTACACTTTCAGAGGAAATGCACTGGCAAACTATTTATTACCATTGTCTCCTACGATAATTTATCTACACTACTATACAGTCATATATATGGCATGCTTGTCTTTATTTTCTTATTTTTCCGTAAACATCGTCAGAACTCTGCTAGCCGAGTGGAAAAGTCGAATCACACCATGAAATGGTTTGTGCTCATCCCTAGCAGAGATTTTGACTAAAAATCTGTTTCTAAAATTACATCGGAAAAATGTTGGAGGTTTTTTTAATATAAAAAATGAGACGTAAACAAATTTTATTTATCCCCTACAATATTTTTACACTGGAATTGAATTTCTAAACACTCTCATTTTTTTTTAAATTTTGCTCCCTGCCCTGGACTAGCTCATACCATTTCATGGTGTGATTGTATTTCAGGGTTTGATTGTGACAAAAACTACTGGACCAGACAAGATGAAATTTAGGTGAAAGCTTCCTGATGTAGTGTTGATTTTAATGTTGATTCTAAATTGTTAAGATCATGGTCCTCGGGTGTAGGGTGAGGCAACCATAGGGAATCAAAGTTTTATGTTGAAATATATAGGAAAAATATTTCAAAAACTTCTGATGAAGAACTACAAGACCAGAAAAGATGAAAATTAGATGAAAGTTCCTGAGGTAGTATAGATTGTAAATTGTTCAGATCATGACACCACGATTTAGGATGGAGCCACATTAGGGGATGATAGTTCAACATTGAAATATATAGGAAAATCTTTTAAATTTAAAAAACGCAAGGCCAGAAGAAACTTTTGTTTAAGCTTCCTAAGATGTGTAATTGTAAACTGTTCAGATCATGGTGACCGGGGGGTTGGGGGTGCGGGTGGCCACAATAGGGAATCAAAGTTTTACATTGAAACATGTAAGAAAAATGTTTTTATCTCTTCTTTTCAAGAACAATTGGACCAGAAAAGATGAAACTTGGGAAGCTTACTGAGAGAGTCTAGGTTGTAAATTGTTCAGATTGTTGTCCTCGGGGGTAGGATGGGGCCACAATCAGAATTACATAGGGAACAATCTATAAAACTCCTTTTCTTAAGAACAGCAAAGTCATGATGAATCATATGAAAGTGAAAGCATCCTCTGCATGGTAGAGTAGATTCATTTTTTGCTCTAATCACGGCCCCTGTGTTTAGGATGGAGTCACAAAAGGCGATCAAAATTTTACATACGAATACATGTACATGTGTAAATTATGACAAAATCTTATGCAACACAGCAGGGCAAAAGTGTTACTGTGAGCCTCTTTTGTCTTCTCGTTAAACCTGCTTAAACAGAAGTTGTATGAAATTGGTTACAACTTTTAGTGCACTGGATATTTTTTTAGTTAAATTAATATAAGGAAATATTTAGGATAAAACTATGAAATTAAATATATCTGTTGTTGAGCAACATAGCCTCTTTAACATTACTCCTCCTTCCCCTCCTTCTCCTCCTCATTATCTCATTATGTGCAGTAAGGATAAAACTTGTCGCCGGCGACAATATGTACAGCCTGCAACGATATATACCGACAACGGACGTACCATTATGTGTGTTGGACGACAATATGTACTGTCACAATCGCACTGCATGAAATAGCCTAAGAGACAAGTCTGTGATTTACACACCAATTGCATTCACAAAACTACAAAAAAATCCTTAAGCAACACTTACTGTGGGGCGACAATATATGCAGTGAGGGTAGGCACTTACTGTCGCCAGCGACAAAATGTACATTTGTTACTTTTCAGCCGGCGACAATATGTACCAATGGACGACCATATGTGCAGTGAGGGTAGGTACATATTTTCGCAGACGACAATATGTACAGAACGACAATATGTACCGTCACAAATCTACTGACTCCCTTTCCACATTCTTCATAGGTTACTTGTGCCAAAGACATTCTCCATCTTAATTGGTGGCTATCAATATTTAAATACTATTGAAATATATAACCATGTAACTACAGTAGCAATATTTTTTATTATATGATGAAATGGAGCTTTGAAGCTTGTATAAGCCAATTAATATTATACTTTTATTCTACGGTATTCAGAATTGCCGTTATCATTCGATTAGCAGACGTTTAAACTTCGTGTTTGATCACGTAAAATAGTTCGGGTGAGTTATCTTTGTGAATATGTCGAGTTGTCCAAATGTAGGATGAATTTCGGCTGCATAAGGTATATTGTCCTAAGAGCGAATTGTCATAGGGGCGACCTGTACAGCATCCCTCCTCTCTCAAAGTCAAGGGGATACTATCCCCATAATTCCCTACCCGTGTAGTTTAGATCCAGCAATGTTTTAAAACCTGGCATATATATATATATATATATATATATATATATAACGTTTGTTTACATTTACAGACCTAGTTCAGAGTAATATACAGGAATCCAGTCAATAAATAAAATATAAATTCCGTAACACCCGGAAATATATAACATTGCTCCTCTTCCAAAATATTTGTTTTAATGGAATCTGCTTTTTGTTCTATTCCCTGACAACGATTAGGCACATACGGAAGGAGAATACTAAATTAATGTACTTTCCTTTCAAATTCTGAATTTTAAACAATCATTGTCATCAAAATAAAGAAACTACTAGTAAGTGAAACTCGGTTATTTGAAACTCAGAGGGACTCCGAATTTTGCTTACTTGTAACTAAGATTTTTTTATGTCTGTATGAGGAATATAGTGCAATATTGCCTTCAAGATTCATAGGGGAACGACCATTTGATTCTGAAGGGGAGGGCTGGTGATAATCTGCCCAGTGGTTCTTGAGAAGAAGACTTTTAGCAACCACTACTTTAGTTTTTAAATCCCTAATTACCCCCCTTGTTTAAGGGTCACATCCCTATTTTAGTATAAAAAAGAGCCCTTGGGCTAAGGATATCCTGTGACAAAGACAAAAATTGGCCAAGGGGTTCTTGAGATATGGACCATATTCCAAAAACTTGATGCACATCGCACAAATGGCCACAGCAAAATTAGCTTTTTGAGCCTTTGACTCAGAATAACTAAAAAGTTCCCGTTTCATGTTAATATACGTACAGTAAACATAAAGAAGTACATGTGTTGAGTAATTGTTCCGGATTCCGTTGCTGGCTATTACCCTGAACCTCCCGGTATCGTTGCACTGGGTCCTGGATATGCTGTAAGTCGAAACTTTATTGACGAACCGCTGGGTATAGAGTAAATTACTATCCCTGAACCAGGACACGTTTGAGGCCGGGTTACTGGTCACCGTGACAGACATTCTGGCCTGTTGTCCCTCAGAGACCATCACTGTCTGTCCATTAACAGTAGGTCCATCTAAAAGCAATGAATCATCTGTTATAAGGTTTGCTTTCTTCAATTGTAAATCGTTTTTGAAATGTCCTTTTCTATTTGCAGCTGGAAAATTAAGAATGGAACATTTCAGTAAGTAAATACATGTTACATGTATTTTGATGACAATTCAATTGCTTCATTGAGATTTCAGGAATTAGATTTAAAGTGTATAATATTCTTTCATTTTAATGAACTATTTCTTAAGAATAATAAATGTTATTATGTTAATGACTTGACTTTGTTACATGTCGGGTTTACTGGTATTACCCATTGTCAACGGATATATATCAGGTTGTTCAGTCTCACAGGTAGCGAAACAAAGAAAAGGATTCTATGACAACAACCACTGGGTCAGAAAAGAAGAAACCCAAGTGAAAGCTTCCCGAAAAAGTGTAGATTTAAAATTTTTAAATTGTGGTCCCGGGGATAGGGTAGGGTCACAACAGGGGATTAAATGTAAACATTGGAATAAATTGGAAAAAAATCTTTGAAATCGTCTTGTTAAAAACAACAGGGTCATATATAGACATACAATATTATCAATGAAGCATACATAGGGGGGTAAACGTTTTACATTGGAACATGGAAACATCTTTCAAAATCTTCTTTTTAAGAACAAGAGGGTCACGATAAGTCGTAGGCTAATTGTCCAAATAGTAGTCCCTGGGAATAGGATGGGGTCAAAATAAACGATCATGTTTCTACATTGGAAAAGACAGGGAAAAATTTCTTCATAAATTTAGCAGTGCTGCACTAAATTATACTGATATATAAGCATTCCAAAGATGCGTGGCTTTGTGTTAAATATCAAATTCTACATATTGCATGTGTAGAGGGAAAATTCTTTTGAATTTATAAGGCCATATCAGTTATATTGTTATTATAATATTCCCATGATGTGTTGATTTAATTATGGTAAATCATATTCCTTTGGAGCCTTTGTAAAGAGACTATTTGGGGTAATTTTTTTCATGGGAATAAAGAGGGATAAAGTCTCTAGTGTGAGAGTCTGATGGAGTTAGGGTGTGCTGGTGTTTATGTGTAAGTGTGTATGAGAGAGAGAGGGGGGGGGGTGAAACTGATATTTATGGGTGAAAAGGATCAACATACACAAAACATCCACAAAAAATGATTGTTGTGATCTGCCTTTTCTTCCATCAAAATACCGATTTTCTGCGACACAAGAGTATGTTCCCGAGTTACCTCTTTCGATGGTATTTAATACAAGAGTAGAGCCATACTGTATGGGACCAGAATTTCCTGATTTGCTCCAGTAGACAGTGGTTGAGGACGGATTTCCTTTGATGTAGCTGCACTGGACTGTGACGTTGTCTCGCTCCACTGGTTTAATATTAGCAATAGTGGAAACCAAAGGAGGGTCTTAAAGATATTTAATTGAATTAAATTGCTTGCAATATATTTTAAATTTTTTTTCTAATATACTGTATACAGGGAAATTTTGGCCTCCGTTTTATTTTCGCCCTAGACACAAGTGGGCGAATTTAAGACGCGACGAATTCAAAAAGACAATATAATTTCTTAAACAGAACTGTGACTGGGCGAATTTAAAACGGGGCAAAATTATTTAAAAGTGTGAAAGGGCGAAAATAACCCTGTATACGGTAGTTCGAGAAACTGTACACGCTATATATTGGATATCATAGCTTTTTTGTTTGTTTGTTTTTATCGTTTGTTTGCAGTTTTAATTTGTTTTTTCCTAAACCACATAATTTGATTTCTAGGAAAAAATTAATGTAAGTTTTCAGAATACTTAAAATTTATCTAAAGGAAACTTACATGAATGTTTTATCGAATATGGTGATTAAATCACATAAAGAATTTGAGACATGCGCGATATAATTTATCTAAACATATACTTTCCAAAAGATTACTTGATACTATATAGCCGGTATTTTACAAAAATTAGTCTTACATACACTGTACATCTAGCTGCAATGTGTTATTGGAGGTTCCTTTCCTTCCGCTACTGTAAGTGTTCTCTGCAAAACACACATATGTACCCGAATCACTCCTCGAAACGTTTGTTATAGTTAGATTTTGTTGATATTGTCTGAAGTATGAATTCTGCTTGGTCCAATACACTGTTGTAGATGGCGGATTTCCCGCGGTGTAAGAACACGTGACCAAAATATCTTGACCCTCAATAACTTTCAGTTCATGCATTGTAGACACAAATGGAGGATCTAAAATCAACAGTGATATTATATACAAGGGATTCTCTATTAGGCCTAGAAAAGATAACTGACCCGCGTTCTTTAAACTATAGTTATAAAACTAAGAAATATAGAAATAACGAACAGTGTCCAAGCTCATAAGTCTATTTAAACAGTTCAAATCAGGAGCAGGGCAAACGGGGACCGCTAAAACATTAGAGGTGGGATCAAGGGCCATGGAGGAGTGAGCATTCACTGCCGAACAGTCACACCCACCGTGTCGTGATCAGATGATCAGGAAAAAACGGATAAATTCGCAGACAATTCAGTGTGAAATAATATCTTAACTATAATATTTGTATGAAAAACGTAAATGAAAAATCATTTGATGATAGATTTTATTTGCTGGCAAGATCATTGTATCGACCATAGAACTTGCGTAATGATAACTTTAAACAAGACTGTTGATATTCTTGTTTCATCGATTGTTTGTCAATAGCTTGTCTACTTTTAGAAATTAATATTGTTCGTAAGTTAAGCATGTTCTTGCGTATCGAATCAACTGAGAGACATAAACCCCAATATGCAGGTGATATGGGTATACTGCTACATAGGGAAGGGAAGTTGACGATTGAAAAGTTGAAGTCATCACATTTATCATAAAGCTTGATTGTTAGCTTACCATCAAGTCTTTTTCTATTAAAATATCTAAATATGAAACAGATGTGTCAGAAACTGTTGTATCTTTTATTTCAAGCTCACTAGATTATCGAGTCAGCATATGAATGGAAGTAATTATTGTTAATTGATAAGACGTCGTCGATATATCTAAATGTTGAGTTGAAGGCCACAGCAAGTATTTTCTTCTTCTCATGTATAAGATTTTGAATAACTTCTGCTTCATATGAAGGCAAAAATAAGTCTACTAATAACGGGACGCAAATGGTACCAATGGGAATTCCGACAGATTGTTGAAAGACCTAGTCTCCAAAAACTACAAGTGTACTGTCAATCAGAAAATCAAATATATATTGATGAAAAAACATGCCTGGTATTGAATATCTTTTAATTTTTTTTTTTTCATTTTTTTCCCATTAAATGAAGTTTACAACCCCCTCCCTTTGAGGAAAAGATTATTTAAGACCATTATTTGCTTACGCTAAACGGAAGTCAATTCTGAATTCTCCCCGGTCCGATTATTACCGTGACATTGAAGTTATTATACCTGTAATAATAATTATTTTTCAACTGTAAAAAGAGGAAATCTATATGATTACATACCTCTTATCATTTTTATCATTGGTATGGAAAGAAAGCATTGCGCTAAAACGAATAGTTCTTGAACTTGCAAACAGTATATAGAGTAAAAAGGTCATATGAACTATAGTGCTTATAATATATGAAACAAGAGAAAATCCCACGTCCAAAATCATTTTCAATTTGGTTGCTATGTGTCTTGGTTGACATGGTAACAGCCGGAAAAGTTTGGTAAATTGAGATTTTCAGCTCCTTTGAGTCTTTTAGGAGCCTTTACAAAGAAAAACTAAGAAAAACAAACAAACAACTCTCACAAAAACACGGCACCTTGTTGCCACTTATGCTAAAAAGAAACTATTTAGAAAATGTCTCTAAGTAAGTGGTATCCATGGGTACATTTGACATACATTTTAAATGCAGAAAAATGCTGTGAGATGCTCAAAATTCACTAATTATAGGTGTAACATGATCAAACTCGATCAGCAACTCAAGAAAAACAATAAAAATAGTTTTCTTTCAATAATAATAAGATAATAATAAGATATTGGCAATATTTTTCTGAAAATAAATTTCATGGTTGCCATGGTAACAAAGTGTAGCCATACAAAATTTTCTGCTAAGTTTTGGTCAATGCTACTATCCTAAGGAAAAACATGGAAATGAAAGACTTGCAACTATACATCGTTAGGACCTTGTTACATAGATAACATTGAAAATGGATTAATTGCTGCTTTGCGGTGTAACCATGGAAATGTACCAGTGGATTAAAGTGATATTTTTGTTGTTTAGAAATTTTGTTACCATTTAATCAAGAAACATTATTTGACTCAATTTGAATAATTCTTATCTGATAGAACTTAAGTTGAATATCATATATTGGTAAAGTTTAATGAAGAAAATAAAACTGTTGCTATGGTTACCAAGAAACTGTTTGATTTTGTTCACTGTATAGCAGTCTTAAACCCAGTGTGGTAGTTTCTTGCATCCAGTTAGAGATTGTATGGTAGTCAAAATTGAAAATCAGGTTACTTGATCAAAAATATCAAACATCAAAGTTTTGGAATCTGCATACAGGGGGTGTGTATCCAAGGAAACAAAATATTTTTCAGCTTTTTACACATATTTTTTCTGCTTATTTTCATAGCAACGCTCTATTAAAGAACTCAATTTGATTTTTTGAAATGTTAAAATTAAGATATTACCAATGCCTTTAAAAATCTATCACAAATTGTATAGAAATCTGCTTTTTAAAACGAAAGGATCAGATTAAAACATACAGATATCAAATTTTGAATCCCTTTTCGATATTAAAACTATGGCAACCATTGCCAACCAATAAGAAATATTACATTTCGTCCTTCGTATATGTTACAAAGATCTTTGTCTATTATTTGGTTGAATTTCAACCTATAATGTTTTTATTTTTGAGTGTATGGCTTTATAAAAATGAATGAATAAACATTACTTTTGAATTACATGTTCTTTGTTTCCATAGTTAATTACTGTTCATTATCTTCATATTTCATTTCAGATGTTTTAGCGAACACGTGCATTTTGCCGGAAAAAACGAAATTTGACACACCATCTCGGGATTTTAACAAGTGGAAGAGAATTTGACGTGATTCATGTGAGGGTTGCCTCACCCTTCAATGAATATAAGGAGAGGAGCTGTGTCGCTTATGGGAAATGTACTAGTGGACAGTACCCATATTTTGTGATTTTACAATTTGCTTTATTCAGCTATACTGGTCAAAATTTCATCCCTCACCCCCCCCCCCCCCACTTTTATTGTTTTAAAAATTTAAAAAAAAAAACAACCTTGCATCAATTTATTTGTGGCTAACAAAATCGCCTGACAGGTAACATGTATTTACATTGCGTAACTGCCAAGGCTAAAAAAAATTAAATTGTAATAGAATGTGTAATAACTCTACCGTGACCCTTTTTGTTGAAAAGCATGAAATGCAAGTTAGATAATTATGTTTTTTGCGGGGGAGGGGTATTTTTCATTTTTTTTTTTTTTTTTTTTTTTTTTTTTTTTTTTTTTTTTTTTTTTTGGTTTCCACGTGTTCTCAAAATTTAGTTGTTAAGGAGAAATTAAAGAGAAATCGAGTAAAATGCATCGCATATCCGCACCAGAACGTTTAAGAGATGTTGGTATGGTTCAAGAGAGGCTTGTTTTCTTTCACTACATATACGTATTTTGCTTACAACCTTTAAAAATACCGTCTGAAAGAGCATACTGTAAACCAGCTTTTATTTGCGAGCGAGAAATATCCGCAAGTTTCGCGACCTTCTTTTATTCGCGAACACTTCTCGTCGCGAACCAATAATTCACCTGTGTATTTATGTAAAATGTTGTCAGGGTCGCGAAGATAAGTAATCGCGGATGATTTCAAACTGAAGAATTGCAAATAAAAGATGTTGCGAATAATAGTAGGTTTACAGTACTTAAATTCATTAAAATTATTACAAATTTCTAGATTTTTAACAAAGATTACATAACCATCTTAATGTTTATCCGGAAATTCAATGGAATCGGAAGTGTATACGACCTAATGACCTCGATGGCCAAAACGTCGTGTAACGACACATGAACAGGACCACTACATAAGGCTTACTCACTTATGTGATAGGAATTTAACCGCATGTGCAACTGCACGGCACACTTTGGCCTTTCGGTGACCAAACTGTACAGAAAAAAATGAAGGAGTGGGGATTGCGTGTAAGGAGACTTTTAGTAGGCTTGGCATTGGAGGCAAGGCACAGACAATTTCGGTTAGCCCCTTTGGTAATCTAGACCTCAACTCTATAAAGCATGTATGAGAGGAGATAGAAACCTCGTCAACACATGGATTAATCTTCCACAAAGATTTTTTTTTTAAATTATGTGAACTCTATGAGGATCGAATGACTTGCAGTTATTCATTGGATGGGGAACACATGCGGTACCTGAAGTTGCAATTTCTAAATTCTACGGTACTTATACGTTTCTGCGTCTTGCCCGGGTACTTAGAAATTTTGATTAGTATAGTTGAATTAGTGTATATTTTCATGGCAGTCAACTCGTTCATATATTGTACATTCGGTCGACAGCCGAGCGAGTAAATATTATTTTAACAAGTTCAATAAAGCAAAAATAAAATAACACAATTGCAAACGTTCCATTTACATTACACAATTTTGCCTGTGTCGAACTGCTGAGGCAACGTATTTACTCTGAATCGATGATATAAGGCATTTTTGTTTGGTTATTATTTAATTCCGCTTGACCAAATAATTTTTTTTAAAATATATAACTATGTCCAATGTTTACAAGTTTCATTGAATCATCTTTCAAAGATAATTTTGATTTCTTTATTTTGTCGCTTAAAAATATACGGAGTATTGTTTAAGAAATAAAAAAATCTCAACGAGGATCTCATTTCAAACAAAAGAGAAGCCGCGAAACAATTTAAAATGAATTAGATAAAAATATGGACAGGGATTAATCTCAAAAAATCTACAAAGCAAAAACGTGTTCAGGGCATAAAACACGGATTCCTGAAATTTCAGAGGTGAAATCAGGTTCTTAGGAGGCTTCCATGAGCCCTGTTTATTGATCAGGTAAACGAGGTTATCCATTGTCAAATTTAAAAACAAAGGCTAAACAGCTGGAATGAGATATGTCTTTCAAAATACGACTCCAGTGATAGGTTCTATTTGCTAACAATGTAAAAGGTGAAGATAACAAACATTGATCAATCTAAAAAA